TCAAAAAAGAGCAATACACATACAAACACTCTCCTTAGAGAAGGGATCAGATTCAAATATATCCAATTCCAAAATCTTGCTGAAAAAGGGAAGTCTTAATTGCCTTTGAAAACTCAAAAAAAAAAAAAAAAGAGTAGAAGTAGAGCTGATCTTACCTCAGGGGAATGTCATTCCAGGAAAGGGAAATGGCATCGAGATCCCTACATATCCTACTCTGAAGGGGTAGAGATCTGAAAGGATTGTTTTCCTCCCAGATCTTCACTGATAGGCAGATGCTAATGAGAATAGGAAGTAATAGGAAATAGTGGAAATAGGAATAAGGGACGGGCATAAGAGCACCAATGTGCCTACCATTCCTGTCCTAATGTTCCCTTTATTTGTATTCATTTTATGTATTCAATTCATGCTTATACTTATATATATTATCTAATACGTATTGACAAAAATAAATAGATAGATAAATAAATAAATAAAAATAGGAAGTCTCAAAGTCACCCAAATCCTGAACCTTGTATGTATTTTAAAGATGGCAGGTTGCAGCCTGAATTACACTTTGAAGCAAACTGCTAACCAGTGCAGCTCTTGAAATGATAATGTTATGTGAACAAGCCAACTCATGCCCATAACTGCCCAAACTACTGCATTGTGGAGCAGTTGAAACAGTAGGCTAAAAAAGGCATGGCCAAGGCATGAGTGACAAGGAAAAAAAACCTCCTGGCTTGAAAAATGTAGCAACCTTTCCAGAATATTTCATCTATCATACCAGCTGTGCTTTTTGTTGAAAGATGTTCACCTTCATGTAAGTCTGTATTCATAAATTCTGCATTACATTTTCTATGAAGGTACTTAAAATGTCAATAGAAGAGTAACTAGGGTTAAACTGAAGAGTCTTTGGTGCTCTCTAAACTTGTTGTTTTATTGCAGACATTTCATTACCTTACCAGTTTCTCTTCGAGCATTAATGATGTTACCTAGTTGGGTAATGAAATGTCTGCAAAAAAACTAACAACCTCAGAGAACACCAAGTACCCTAGAGTACTTTAATTGTCAGAAGATGCAAGTGACTTAGCAACAATTGATACAATTTTGAAAAGTTATACTGTATTTCATTTGCAGTGAAGCATCTGACCTAATTAAAGATGTTAACTTTTAATAGAAACAGAACTGTAATTTTTCTCCAGGTTTATTTTTCATGAGCATCTGAATATGTCTTCTAATATTAAAGGTGCCAAGTTGGCTACTGTGAAAAAAAATTAGCCAAATATCGTTTCTACTGAGACTAATCTATTTCCATGTCTAGGCTTGCATGTCATACATATTTGGCAATATGTCAGATGTAAAAGGGAACTAGACTTTTCTAGTACATTGATGCACTGATATTCCAATTTGGCTTTTATCTTCAAAAGAACAGATGATAACCTTTCAATTTAAATATACCATGGATCTCCACAAAGTTTAAACTCAGGAATTCTCACTTGTTTGGACTATGCTTAGTGAAAACAAAACAGAATCAAACAGAGATAAGATCTCTGTTTTATTGTCTAAAAATTTGTTTTCTCAGATTCAAATATAATTACTGATTATTTTGATTATAAAATCAAAAGTGAACGTTTCTTACTTTTCACACGCAATAAATAGGTAAAGGAGATAAAGAGCACCCGATCTCTAAACTTGCACAGATTTCAGTCATTTAGGACAAAAACATTAATTTGCATTACATTGAAGTTCTGAATAATCCTGTACACATAAGCAAAGAATATGAATAGACTTCTGACACCTAAACAAACATGAGTATAGATGGAGAAAAGTGCAAAGAGCAAAATGATTTTTTTAAGTAGAAACTGATTTGTGAAGGCTATTCAGCCATTAAGTTACTGAAATAAATTGTGCTCCTAACAAATATAATGAAGAAAAAGAATACACAATGAATTTCTTACTGAAGTGACATTGTCTTTAATTCCTGAATAGACTGTTCTGGAATGTGCCTTTTGAAAAAGAAAGACACATCATCACTCTGATATTAGTTCCAAAAGTATTTAATTAATCAGCTTTCTTAAAATAAAATCTATAATCCTAGTAGCGTGTTTTAGAAGTAGATCACCAATTAGAAGAGTAGAATGAAAGGACACACTCATAGAATATTTCTCATACAAGAAATCTTTAAAAGGACTTCTAAATGTATACTGCAAATAATTAATACACATGGCCAATTTTACATGTCTGAATTTTAGGACATTGGTGTGTGGAAAAAACAGAATGATCAGCAGAGGGTTTCCTTAGCATATGTATGATACAAAATAATTACTTACACATTCCTTAGATCGGCTTATGGGTAATATCTGTGTATTCTCTCTGTGTGTAGAGATTTAATTGAAACTTCTATGTATTGACCATATGTGAATTGAACACACCAAAATAACAGGGTACTGCCAGAGGTACTATTTCTCCCCAGCTCACTTCCCTCGTTAAGATGAACGGCAAATAAAATTGTCAAGCCTGGCATTTAAGCAATTTTCTCTATAGTTATTAAAATAATAAACTGTCTCCAAAAATCTGTCACTTTCAGAAAGAGCAATTTGGGAATTGGACTAATTAGATCGACAGTGCAAACTCAAGAGAGAAATATTAAAACTGGAAATACAATCAGTTGAAATTTTTTTTGTGTCAAAAACTTATTTCCTCATGTGAGCCTGATGATGTGGATAAATTAGTTAAAATCTTTGGAACCATACCCTTCCAAGTAATTAAAAATCTTCCAGGCTAAGCATACCATATGGTCCTTAGAGATGGTTAATCAGGGACAGTAAGTTCCCACCACATTTAAGGAAGCTGTAGTTAAACATTTGCTTAAAATATAGAATTCTAAATTATGAATAAATACTATCCAGTATGCTGTGCATCTTTCCTGACTAAGATAGTGGAGAAAATTAGCTCTGAACCCCAGGGGATATGAAATGATACTGAATTTTTGGATCTATTCCAATCTGGCTTCTGGTCTGATTTGGGGGCAGAAACAGCCTGGTGTGCTCTCATTACAGAATTAGAATAGAGAACAATTGGCGAAATCAACATTCTTGCTACATCATTTCAGGGTGCTTCCATTCAGGCTAGTTTATTATAACATGCGTTAAGTGGGCTGCCTTTAGAGACAGTTAGGAAGATGCTGCAGGACAAAGCTATTCAATTATTGGCAGAGTTTAGGCAATTAGAAGATATAACAGCAATCTTACATTGGTTGCCAGAGCATTTCTAGGCCCAGTTTAGAATGCTTCTGAGCCCTAAATAATTTGTGATGATGCCATTTGTCTATCCACCATTTGTCTATCCACACCTCTCTGAGGTGTGTTATTTCCAAGGTCAGCCACAAGAATACCCATCCATTCCATTAGGTTAGAATGCAGCAATGATAAGTCAGAAGAGGTTCCAGTCTTTTCCACACAATACTTATGTGACTCCATGACTGTTTTTAATTAGATCTTTAAAGGCCAGGATGTTGTCATCTGCCTTTAAATAACTGGAATCGGTTTATTTTACAAATTTTAGTTCATAAAATGCTAACATGTTCTTTAATATATTTCCATTGAAAGAAAGAGCACACCAGCGTGCCAACCGTCCCTGTCCTACTGGTCCCATTTATATGTACTCATTTTATGTGTTTATGTTTTGCTTATTTAAATCCATTTATTTGTACCATTTTTCAAGTGTCCATGTTTACATCTATACTAATACTATTTCTTGTTGATAAATTAAGAAAGAAAGAAAGAAAGAAAGAAAGAAAGAAAGAAAGAAATGCTATTAGAAAGTTTTGCCTTGAAAGATGGAATACTTTTTCTTTTATCCTCATAGCCTTGTTAATTAGAGAAAATAACCTCAGTAGTCAACTCTTCATATTAAGAAGAAAGAGTACATAAAACCAAATGACAACAGAGGCTTATTAAACATGTAGCATCCTAAGTCAATCAGCTGCATTTCTCTTCTATTCTCAAAGTTAGTGTAATTGAATTTGCTCTGGATAAACAGGTTGAGATTATCTGAGTGAACAGAAGTGTCACCCCACATGTTCTCTCAAGGCAGGGGTCAGCAACCCGCGGCTCTGGAACCACATGTGGCTCTTTCACTCCTCTGTTGCAGCTCCCTGTCGCTCAAAATATGCCTCACAACCGCCAATGTGCGACACCCGCAGACATGCAGTATATTGAGCTTTTCAACCCCCGGCAGGCCAACCATGGATAAATCCAAGAAAAGAAAAGTTTCAGAAAAAACAATGTTTAATTCAGCTACGTATGCTAGTTTTGTGGCTGCTCAGGAAATAGGCACGGGAAGGGTTTTGTGTTTTCTTTGTGAAACGGGTCCAAATGGCTCTGTGAGTGTTTAAGGTTGCCGACCCCTGCCCCAAGGTGACTAACTAGAGCCATTCACATATAGCCCTCTATTCTACATGCAAATCTTTATTCACACACATGTGCATTGATTTTTAGGCAGAAGATACACATGGAGAGACCATATGCAGCAGGCTCTTTCCCCCATCCAAAGCACACCTCTTTAAAAGCCTTCACTAGGACCAAATGAGGCTTTAAAAATGTGATTGCAGAATCAATGAGATGGCTTTTCAATGGGGAGTTATAATGTTTAGAGAAGGGATGATTAGCTGATTCTTCGAGCAACAGCTCTCAAAAATATCCCTCCATGTGCCAATTAGACTCCATTGGCACCAAAGAGGGCTTTTGAAGATTTGATTGCAGTGCAGGAAAGGAAAAAGCTCTTATGTCTAATTTCTTGCTGATTAGTGAAAAAAGCTTTTTGCTATCTTGGAAGGACAGACAGGGTTTTGAGAAAGAAGTTGGTGGTCCGCATGGAAAACTGGAGGTTTCCAATGCCTGCAAAAAGCTACTTGATCAGTTTCAGTTTTTTTAAAAAAAAATATGTTTCTAATATTATGAAAGTATAGTGTTCCACTTTTCAGGTATGCTGAAAATGATCTTTGGATTTATTTGTTGCAGGACCAATGCAAGAGACTATATATGATTTCTGGAGAATGGTCTGGCATGAAAACACAGCAAGTATAGTCATGGTGACAAATCTGGTGGAAGTTGGAAGGGTAAGAGTATTTTAGAAACTATATGTGTGTTATCTATATATTCTATTTGCAAACAACAATAAGCAACATGATCACCACAAAGAGGTTTATTTAATTTTGTAGTCTGTTTTAAAAAGTCTTCCCAATGATTACATAATTAATTTACTTCGAAAGTATAGAAACTCTGTACTTCCAAATATTGTTGAATGACTATTCCCCAAGTTAACTACCATTGGTCATGAAAGTGGGGCAAATTTGCTGTGTAGCAAAATCTCAGGGATCCAAGTTCCATATCTATGACTAACCTACTGTCATGGAAGGCAAAAAAGAAGAAGCATAACCCTAAGGAGAAAGAACACACACTTTTTTGAGACAACAGTTGTTAGGTTTCAACTTGCAGAAGAAGAGGAGTAGAGAAGAATGGAAAACAAGAATTTAATAATGGAAATCCTAGGAGTTGCTCTTAGATCTTTCAGTTGCTGCTATCTTCAGGAACAGAGGATAAATATATCCAATTGGTTCGAGTTAACATAAAATAATTGTCAGGGAGATGTCTATGGAGATTCTCAGTCATCCAGGTCATGGTTGTCCCAAAGGTATTTTTTCAAGAGGCAACTGGCCTTTCTTGTTTATCTTTTAAGATGTTTTGCTTCTCATCTAAGAAGCTTCTTCAGCTCTGACTGGATATGGGGAATGAAAGGATTTATATTACTTGCAGACAGCTGGTCTGCAAGGTTTTTTTATAGAATCGTTGAGGCCACTTTGACTGACACTATCTCTTTCTCTCTCTCTCTCTCTCTCTCTCTCTCCATATATATATATAGACTAGGTAGACACCTGGTCTATCCCAACATGTGGGAGGGGGCATTCTGCTCCCTTTTGCCTTTCAGCTCCAATCCAGGAGTGCTCAAGCAGTCGCATTCACGATAAACCATTTTATTCCAAATATATATTTTGCTGATAAAGAAATAAAGGGAGACTAGTATAGATCTATTTCAAGCTTTTTAGGTCTCATCAGCCAGCCATACCCTTACTTGGATTCGAACTTGGGTTGCCTGAATGTTAGGCAGTTGTATTAACCACTGAGCCACAAGTTCTCCTCCCTTCATCAGCTTGAGCCAGGGGAAAGATTAAGTGTTTACCGAGACAGCTGGTCTACCCCAACATGTGGGAGGGGGCATTCTGCTCCCTTTCGCCTTTTAGCTCCAATCCAGGAGCCCTCAAGCAGTTGCATTCACGTATGTATGTATGTATGTATGTAGGTCTTTGGTTATTCGGGTTTTCTCCCGCGAAAATTGGAAGTGTCTTGGCGACGTTTCGACGAAGTCTCATTCGTCACCTTCAGTCTGGTGTTTTCGGCTTTGTGCTTCTAGGAGCCATCCATACATGAAGCAAACTGACACCCACCATGAAGATGTGGCACGACTACGAACGCGAAGCCAAACAACAGCAACGCAGCTCAGCAGCTCAAATCCCCCTGCAACTCAGACTAACCCGAGCACAGCCAAGCCCCCAACCAAACAGAACACAGCTAAGCTCCCACCCAATCAGTTCTCACCCCCACTGGCAGTTAAAAGGAAGAAACAGCTGCGATCACACATTGCTCCTAGAAGCACGAAGCCAAAAACACCAGCCTGAAGATGACGAATGAGACTTCGTCGAAACGTCGCCAAGACACTTCCAATTTTACGCGGGAGAAAACCCGAATAACCAAAGACCTACATACAAACACCCACGAAAACCTCAGAAAACATATGTGTGTGTGTGTGTGTGTGTGTGTATGTATGTATGTGTGTGTGTATATATATATATATATATATATATATATATATCTCCATCCATATCCTCAGGGTCACCTGAGTAGTGCAAATGATGTGGAGCCTTCTTGTAACTGCTGAAAGAACCGTGTTGTACACTGGAGATAGATGATGTCATATCTCTTCCACTCTGTTGAGAGAGGATTGTTTAGTTTTGACATAGATGGCCTTTGACCCCTCTTTCAAACCGATGATCCTCTCTATTCAAAATGTGGACTTTGCTGTCTTCAAAAGAAGACTTTGTCTTTTAAATGCAGATAGACTGCTCAATCTAGTCCTGATGGGTTTTTTCTCCTATGTTGAGCCATGCGTTTATGAAGTAGTTGTTTTGTTTCCCCAATGTAAAGATCTGCACGTGTCCCACTGCATTGTATTGCATATATCACATTGGTCAGTTTGTATCTATGTGCTTTATCTTTGGGGTGGACAAGCTTCTACTTTAGTGTATTCTTGGGTTTAAAGTATACACATGTGTTGGCTGAAGATCCTCCCAAGTTACTGGGAGAGTTCAATTATTGGGAAACTAGAAATATTAGAAAAGGATGTATTTACGCTGGTAGAAATTGATGACATTAGGCACAGTATCTCCAATCTTTCATGGGATGTTGTGCTTCCTGAGTAGGTGTTTTTTTACCTATTGACCTGTGCTGATTAATTTATATCTAGACAAACTTACTCCTGGCTGTTTCTAATCAGTTTCACCCTTCATGTCTATTCTAAATTAAGCAAGAAGCAAAGATTTCTTTTTAGCTATAAAGGAACTTCAGGGGTAGAAAGGCAATCTTTTCATTTATAAAAGGAGCTCCAGGGGTAGGGAGAAAACCCAATTTCAGACACTGATTATATAAGACTGGGGGTCACAAAGTGGAATTCTCAGCAGTGTGCAGAAATAAATCAAATAATAATTTTTCCTTCTTATTTCAGCCATAACACTACATTTTTGAGATACAATTACTCAGGATTTGACACTTGACACCATTAATATGTTCAAACAAACACAGTGGCACAGTTAAAAGATCAGATAATTTTCAGGAAGATGGAATTCTCATCCAGGGGCAAAATATTTGTGATACGTTATTTAATCCCTTAATTCTTTATTTTCCTGAAGAACATTGGGTGGGATTTGGGTGTTTATGTCATTCTTCTGAAACTTACTAGCTGCATTTAGGAAAGTATACACTATATATATTACAGTGTGAAGAGTTTGTGATAGGCAGAGTGAATTAATCCACTTTTCCCCTTCCTATACTGGTGTTTCTTTAAGAAAAGAAAACCTAAATCTCAACTCAAAATCCTAGTGAATCTTGATTTCATTAATAATTATTAATTACAATTATTAAATGATATTCTGCCTTTTTAGAGAATGTGGCTGATCATTCAGTTTACATTATATTATTAAATGAAGTAAGTAAGATTTATGTCTGCTATTGCAATTCCTAGGGAAAAAAAGGATAATACTTAATTGAGTTTTTAAACAAACACTCATTTCCAAAAGGGCCTATTTTCCAATTATATATTTTAATCTGAGATATTTGGTGGGCTACAGAAAAATTTACCTAAGCTTGTTCCAACATGTAGAAAAAGAAGAAAACCCACTTCAAATAAAGAAAAAAATTGTTCCCTCATGGGTTCAAAAACATTGTTTAATTAATAAATACCGGTAATTAATGGAAACCATCTTGACCTTTCTGTCTAATAATTAATGTGTGTCATATAACTTCTATATGTGTTCACCAAGTTGCTTTGCATTACTTTGTGAAGCTATGTTTAGCTTCTTTAGCTATTGAAATAATAAGAGAGGCAATGAACACATGTTAGAAGTATGTTAGTTTATGTTTGTCTTATTTTCAAAAGACAATTTAAAAAATCACTTATTTTAAATGATTAATTAGGCATGGGTCACTAAAACACTTGTGATACATGTTTTTAATATCTTGGAATCAGAGTAGTTTATAATTTCCTCTGAAGAATAGATGCATGGACTTTAGAGTGATCAATTAATTGCTCAATAATACAAGTATTCATGTCATTTCTCTCTTCCTTTATTGTAAATTCAGGTTACATTCTGAGTATGGAAGTGGATATTTCTCATGGCTTACTGTGAGTTTAAATCCTATTGTTTAGACATGTAACAGCCTGAACTACTCACAAATCAAGGTAAAAGACCATATTTTAGACAAAGCAATAAGATTTGTGAGTATAATTAAGGACTGTTACTAAAGCATAAAGATGCAGATACTTGAAGTGGCAAAATAGTCTAATTCCCAGTAAATCAATACATTAACTTTCCCTCTTAATATAGAAAATTAAAACAAATGTATTGCTGTAAAACAGTCCATACTTATTACATCTGTTTGATAGGTACATTCCAAAAATGGAATATATTTAATTGTTAGTCTTTCCTTTGTTACATTTGTAATACAGCCAGAATCTGCAAGGACTTCCTGCAATTAACAGCAATAAAACATCAACCAATGATATAACGTTTAAATGCCCAGAGTAAGAAAACTGTAAGTCATAGCAATTAAAACAAGACAGTATCATCCCAAATTGTCCCAGAGCAGTTTCCACAAGAGCATCATTTGTATCAACTTCCAGAAAACTGTTTAAAAAAAAAAAAAAAAAAGTTGTTAAAATTACAGAAGAAAAGCTAGCCTAATTTCTGGAGGGAGTCCATAAAAAGAGTGCTAAAGTTTGAAAAGCAAAACCTTTAAGCCTCTATCACATTAACTTAACGGGTCTAGTGGTTAAGACACCAGGCTAGAAATAACAAGGCTCTGAGTTCTAGTCCCACCTTAGGCAGGAAAGCTGGCTGTGTAACTGGGCTAGTCACTCTCTCACAGTCCAAGTTCAATAGGTTTTTTTTTTGCTGTGGGGAAAGGAAGAGGAGAAAGGAGTATTAAGTATGCTCACTACCTTGAGTTACTTACAATACATAGAAATAATAAAGGCAGGATAACAAATCTTAATAATTAAAGGAACTACAAGTAGCTTCTCAGACAAGTCAACATTGGTTGAAGAAGGCAGTTGTCCAAATATCTTGGCATCAAGCCATATTGAGAGATATTTGAATAAAAAGTCTAAGTAAAGAAATCAGTTTAGTAGAACACAATATGTCACAGGAAACACTGTAGAATTTGTATTTTTATCAAAATAATCTGATTTCATTTCATTATAATGCTTATTCAGCGTTCATCATTCCAC